CCGGATCCTGGCTTGCTGCCGCTAGCTCCGCTGCCACTACCTCTGTTGCCACTGTTGTTGTACCCACCCTTATAGCCAGAATTTGACAACTGCTTCAGCGCTTTAAGCTGCCTGCAGTCCTTTACCACGTGCCCAGGTTTATTACAGTAGTAGCAGATGAGATGTTTCCGACTGTGTCCCGAGCTGTTGTTAGCCGGCCCCCGGCTACCATAACCAGAAGTAGAAGCGCCGAACGTCGAACCGCCGACAGACGCGAAGGCTGCCGACTCGGTAGGCTTGCCCGACCCACCGTTAGCCGTCTCGATAGAGAGAAGCTTTGCTGTGACGCTCGCCATGTCCAAATCGCCGTCGCGCATTAGTAATGTAGTCGTCACCATGCTGTACCGACTGGGTAGACCAATTAGGACGGTGTACGCCAGCTCGGAATCGTTAACTACGTGGCCGACTCCCAATAAATCTGTTTGCAGCTGCCTTGCACGCGCAAAGTACATTGGAAGAGGTTCGCCGTCGACCATCTTAAAACGGCTGAATTCTTGACGTAGAGACACCTTGCGGGCGTTGTTGTTGGCAGCAAACATAGATCCCAAGGCGTCCCAGGCCTTCTTCGCGTTGGCAGCACCGGTAACCATCGGCAAATGATGATCCTTGACGTTCTTGATGAGCAGATTGATGACCTTCCGTGATTGTCGAATCTGCTCCTCGTTGCACGGCTCGGCGAGCAGGGATTGCTCAAGCCCAAGCTCCATGCACATCGCGCTAAACCTGATTTGCCAGGTGGAGTAGTTGTGGAGGTCCAGCGGCTCATCAAGCTTATCCTTGACCATTGTCGATAAGGGATAGAAATAACAATCGGACGATAGCTGTCGGCGCTACCCGGGGCTCATAACCTGTTAAGACCAGCAAAGCGCCGGACCCCCGTTGGGCAGTGATTTTTTTTTCATTTAGGGGGGGTCTCAATTTATTCCAACCTAAGTAACAAAGTTGCTAGCGTCGCCGTTATGTATTCCTTAAGAGTGGGGCGCTGGGGGGGGCTACGCCCCCCCCAGACCCCCCCCCGGTAAGTTACAACAGCACCGCCGTCCCAAACGCCTTTATCAGGAAAAATTTCAGACTTATCTTGCTGTTTTTGTGTTTGTTCGGCGTTCAAGTCGTTGCCTTTTGCGTGTTTGTCTATGGAAGGACCGGTCATACATTCTGCTATGCCGCGTTGACTCACGGGCTTGACCTTCTTACGGCCCCTCATATCTATTTTATGATCGATAATACTAAGTTCTGCACACTACGGAGCAATCTGGCAGCAATGGACGTTTTTGGCTGAAGGAATGAAAATGTACGGATCGGCCTCACTTTGTTCCTTATTTCCAAAGGCCAAAAAGGCCTCTTTATTCCTTAAAAGTAATATATTACTTAAAAAAAAAACACTGCCGTTGGGTCCTATTACTGTGGCTACCATTCACTGGTATATGAGTGTCGGTCATTTCCAACACCCCCCCGTGAGCGACACTCCATCGCTACGGGCCGTCCCGTGCCTCATCCCGGTCTCCCATTCTCTAGGCAACAGCCAGTGGGTATCGATCCGGCGACCTCTCGGCAGCGCAATGCGCCATTCGGGGCTCATTTCTTATTGACGAATTGGCGACGGAGACAGCTAACGCTGATTGTTATTCCGGAAGGATTGCCGGTGGCGAAGATATTTTGCACAATAAAATATTACAAGTAATGTAAAGAGTATTATTAGCGTTCGGCAGGACTTGAGGAGATTCCTATGAGGAATACCGATCGTAGTGAGATAAACAAATAAGCGCAGTCACCGCCCTAAATACCGGCGCTAGCGGAAAACTCGTACATTCCGCGATCTAACTGCACGTACATTCCGCGATCTCACTGCGCCGTCCTGACGGTGCCCAAATGTCTATCACTTAGCTACAGTATATGCATCGGTAGCCCATAAGGTTCTGGGTTAAGTCTTCCCCATTAGTCAGGCGCAGTCTCAGGGTCAAGACCCCTGGTTGACAACCATACGAGTTGGGAGAGGACCGTTTCCTCAACAAAGGTCACGCACCTTGAAGACTTTCGCTATTGCGGCTTTAATTGCCCGGACCATTTCCGGGTCTTCTGACGCAATAATGGTGTCATCTACGTGCACCAAAGCAATAACAGGCAGGCGGCTGGCAGAGGTTAAGGCCTGACTTCTGCTCCCGGTCGACCTGGGTTCAAATCCGCCTGCCGACCTCTCGGGTGTTTGAGAGGTGGTGAAATGGGAGGTGGCCCCCCATCTTGTGGACGGTGTAGGACGTGATAAAATCAACTTGCGAGCTGTCCAGGAACTAGGTTGAGGCGCCGTTGATCCGCTAGATTTGGTTGGATGCTGGTGGTGAGTTGCCAAACTCAAAGAGTACACGCTGAAGTCGGATGGGGTGAATGGCTTAGGGTGCCCCTCTAGCAGGGGAGAGCAGGGAATTGCCTCGGGAAGGAGGCCACTGGTGAAGCTTAACCACCCTGTAACAACATCAACAACCCCACGCTCGTCCGTCTTAACGAACATCGCCGAATCAGACTTCGAAGGATAAAGACCCAGCTTGGCGAACTCTGCTGATAGCTTTACATACCATGGCAGGCGGCTGGCAGAAGTTAAGGCCTGACTTCTGCTCCCAGTCGATCCAGTCGACCCGGGTTCAAATCCGCCTGCCAGCTCCTCGGGTATTTGAGGAGTGATGAAATGGGAGGTGGCCCCCCATCATATGGACGGTGTAGGACGTGATAATATCAACTTGCGAGCTGACCAGGAACTAAGTTGATGCGCCGTTGATCCGCTAGATTTGGTTGGATGCTGGTGGTGAGTTGCCGAACCCAACGAATACATTCTGAAGTCGGATGGGGTGACGGATTAGGGTGCCCCTCTAGCAGGGGAGAGCAGGGACTGCCCCGGGAAAGGGGGCCGCTGGCGAAGTTAACC